TCCTAAATTCAGTAAGGATGTATCCCATGGAAGTGCGGGTCCGGTACCCGACGGAAGCTTGCGTCAAATAAAACGTTACTTCAATGAATGAGTCTCCCAGCTAACTCTCGGGTGCTATTCATTTTCCCATTTGTTGCAGGGTCCTCGAATTTACTCCCAGAATCCCGGTCGCATTCATTGATAACACCCTCCAACGCTCGGAAATCACAATATGCTGTCGTTCTCGAAACATACCAACCCTTGGTTCAACCACCTATCTCCCCGGAACCCACTCCGACATTCGACAAATCAAACTCACAATTTCAGCAAGGGTTTCACTCTTCAAACCTCTCTATGAGCTCAACATATTCTACTGGATTCTCTCCCGCCAACCCTCTCCCACAATATGCTACAGTGCTCCGGCCGTGCTTTGGGGAACTTTTAACGCCACCACTTACCCCACCACCCAACGTTCCGTTACCACCCATTCCAGCCGCATCCGCATCCACCACTTGGCCAAACCGGACGTGCAGTCTCTCCATGATATCTCGACCCCCGAACGCAAAAGGAATAGTGAGAGATTTTCCATACCCTCAAGACGTCCACCCTGATGTGTTGGACACTTTTCCACCTAAAAGTAGACCAAGGAGTAAATCTTCGCCGCTAAGGTCAGAGATGAAACGAACGTCATCCCATGCTCCTCTCCCAGCGGCCCGCCACCTGAGGTTAATCTCCTCGCCGACCTCTTTCATCTCCGACTCTGAAATCACTGACGACACAAATCCAACAAGCGAGGAGGGTGAAACAAGCCAAATACCAATCGCTTTGTTCGAAAGCTCCTACTCGCCACCTGTTCCACCACCCATCATCCAAAACTTTGTTCAGCAGTATCATCCTTCCACTAGATTCCCCTCTGAAAAATTCTCCATCCAGGAAAACTCGAAAGCCTGTCATAATTTCTCTTCTTGATCCAGTACAACGTTCATCCAACTTGACAACAAACACAAAATAGCGCCCAACCCCTTGTGAATTCATTGGCGGATGTAACTTATTATTCTTCTTAGTGACATTGTCTCGTTTCATTTAGCAACCTGGTATGTATAATATTTTATATGCGTCCAGCTCTATTCTCAAGACCGATTCGGTGGAGTTGATTTCTGTTGATGTTGGCATTCTTTACAGGAAAGTTTCAAATGTGTGAAGATGATGAACGGAGTGTCAAGCCTTGTTATCTTTTGTGAGAAGAACAATACCCGATAATAAACATGCAATTCACCCCTATTGGGCCACCCCACCTCCCACGTTTTGGTCTATGCTTCTTATACTTTACCCTTGCACCCAACTTGATTCGCATTCCATTTTCGACATTCGTTTTGTTTATCGCATCTTTCCCACACCCTCAGGGTTCGTTCCACCAATCATTCTACCTGGCCTTCGTCAATCCAATTTGCCATGAGAAAAGCTACCAATCCTCAGAATACATGACACGTGCAAAATGTCTTCACCAAGCCAATTAAGCTGTCATAACCAATTTATCTGGCCAAATCTTCTCCACAAAGGGTGTCGCCGAAGAATCACCTGCCTCGCTCGAGCTCTTTTCTCTCATATATTTTTCTTTATAGACAGATTGCATGTAAAGTAGCACCATCATACTCATCGCTTTGTGCTCAATCGTCAACTTCTGAACGAAGCAGGAGAATCACTTCGTGATCCCTTTTCCACAAAACAGCTAACTTGAAAACATTGAGAAGACAAATTGATTATTTAACATATTTTCCCAATCATCGCTGGATGAAGCTCTGTCACTTGCAGTAATTTACTACAAAAAACCTGTTGGTCGTACCAGGGAGAACCGTAAATTTGAAAGTCAATCGGTGCAAAATGAAGATCAATATGAATGATAAAATGTCACAGAAATCAAGAGGTTTCTATACCACTTCTCCAGAAAGTTCTAATCTAAAGGTGAATGATACACTTCCTCCTCTCAGTCTTGGTACAGCTATAACGAGAAAGCTTGCGGGCTCAGAAGATAGAAAATCAAAAAAATAAAAAAATAATACGGAAAACAATTGGAAGCTTTGGAAGAATACAGGTCCATGTATGTATGGATTACCTCCGGTCAAATCAGCTAACTTTTTTTCCACTCACTTTCAGGTGATGAGGGTAACACCATCAGAATCCTGATGGAAAGTTTACTCCATCCACCCCTCAATCCATGGCCTCGCTAGGGCAGAGCTACCCCCCAGGGGGGCCGGTCAGGTTTCATTGGTGCCGCTGGCCAGTACATGACACAGACAACCTGTACATCTGGCTGTATTCTTCCAAATATTCCGACTGCAGCCGATGTTTTTTTTTTTTTTTTTAATTTCTATCTTCTGAGCCCGCAAGCTTTCTCGTTATAGCTGTAAATATATCTAATATGTAATGAAGCCAAATTTGATGAGTTCAAGTGGTGGGTTTTTCTTCATTTGTTTTTCTGATTCTAACTAGAAGTGGGGATTTATGTCAATTTTGTGAGCAATACCTTGACCAAAACTACTTTCAAGCTGGGCCTTTATATGCCTACAAGGTAAGAGTAATTCAAACAATGGGAACAAATAATTGTGGGGGCACATATAGTGTAGGAAGGGTACAATGATAAAACAGGGTTGCAACAACAAGGTTGACAAAATGACCTATGTGGATAGGTGTCATGGGATGGAATGGATGGAGTGGGTGTTCTGGGTTAATAAAGTTGATTCAGGGTTCTTCCTGATAATCTGGCCCTCTTGAATGTTGACTTTCTCCCACTTGGGGGGGGGGTATTGATGTAGCAAGGGCTTTGCCAATTGTTTCCAGTGTGATTGTACCATAGTTGCTGGATTTATTGTTTCCAGTGAAATTGTACCATAGTTGCTGGATTTATTGTTTCCAGTGTGATTGTATCATAGTTTCTGGTGGATCCTTGAGATTTGTGGAGTAGCTGTTGTTTGATCTATTCATTTGTGTGTTTGTGAGTCTGATGAAACAAGGCTTTCATTGGCTTAGCACACTACAACAAAAAAAAAACAACTATATAACATTGAAAACTTAAAAAAAGCAATCTTAGTAAAGATAATCAAGAATAACAATAAACTTTTCTTACTCCTTTTCATATTTGGTTAGAAACTCAAGATAAAAAGTCTTCAATTTTATCAAAACTGTTCAATGAGTTAAATGTTGATGATATAATTTATTGATTCAACTGGCGCTGGATTTAATTTCAAAATTTAAAAGTGAGATCAATTCTGAGGGCCTGTACCACAGGACATGAAAATTCAATTTCTCAAAATTTATCTTGCTCAAAATTTTATATTATCAAAATTGACAATAACTAGACGCTAGTCTTGGGTATGAAAGTGAAGAATTTCAACACCAGATCTCTCCAATTGTTCCCAGTTATTGTGTAGAGGATGGAAAAAATGCCCATTTTTGAAAATTGAACCCTACGGTACAGGCCCTAAACTTGACGTCTTCCTTCTTGAGGCTTGATTCCTTGAAAATTAGAACCAAATAATATAGACAAACAAAGTATGACAAAGAGAAAAAAAAACCATCTGGACTCCAATTTGGATTTATAAATACTCATTCCATCAGTGAAGACGGTACTGAAAATTAAGGCTGGAAACCGGGTGGGTTGGAAAGGCTGGCAGCTGAGTGGTGCTGTCAAGTCTTACTTGTTCAGAATCTTATGTTATTTAATAGTATTACACTTTTGATACTTGAGGATATTGCTAACTTTGGGGCAGTTTCATCATTTCTTTTTATCAGATGAGGGCTTTTTGGGATGCTTTATTGATTTGGACCAAGGTGCAACTTTAACTCAGAAGAAAACATCAAGGTAGGCATACCTCAAGATGTTTATCTCTTTCCTCAAGAATTTGAAATGGGTAAGCTCAATGATGGTAAACTAGTCACAAGACAGTGGCTCATGTCTGTGTATCCATTTCCATGCTCCAGACTATGGGTAGTTGATCATGATAGGAATTAGCCATAAGCAGTTGGATTGCTCGTAAATTCTTCTCAGGGGATGCCCATTGCGCTTTGAATATCATCTATTTATTTTACTGCAACATCTGGTCTACATGGGCTTCTAATCATAAAGAGTAGCTGTAAGAATAGAGACCGTTTTTTAGTCCAATTGGCATGATCTATCGATTTAGTTCCTAGGATTTGCTTCCGTTATGGGAGCTCTGCACAAGGGGCAGATTTGGCTGCGTTTCAACCAGGTCTGGCAAAGCGGAGGGGGGTCGAGCGTTAGAAAAAAATTATGCTCGGAATGAGGAAATAGCAACATACCTGCATGCAGTCACGATGGAAATGGTGGGATTCGTGGCACTGTAAGACGACAACGCGGTCTCCTTCGGTATACTCTTCCAAGCAGATGGAACATGGTAGCCTGAAGCGGCCGTGACCAGTGAGAAGGACAGAGCCCAAGGTGATATTTTCGAGGCGATCTAACAGGTTGGTGACCTCCAACTGCCTCATAGTTGCGCGAGGACGCCTTCTGATTACCATATTTTGGAAAAGCAAATGCTCACCTGTAATCTCCTCATGATCAGCACGTCGGACTTGAAGGTCCTCTGCCATCTGCAGGACCCTTCGACTTGAGACGGTAGGTGCGGGCGGCATTTGGGTCCGCGTCTCATCGATTTGACGGATAAAAGCCAAAATGTCTTCTGTGTCATCGTTGAGGGTGGCATGATGTGGATTGGCGGCAGTTGTTGAAGGCGTGGGTTCAGGATTCATCTGGGCAATGTCCCCAGGCGTGTCTTCGGGAGCAGAGGGCACTGCAGAAGCCTCAGGCAATGTGGTTTGGGAGCCGCCAGGGCTTGGTTGGAAAGGGTCTTCGGGATCATTCAAGTCTCCAAGATTTGAAGTGCGATCCATATTGGGGCTGTTTTTGCTTGGTTCTGCTCGTAAAAGAATTAGTTAGGTGCCTTAGACTGTCAGGAAATGGGGAGGGGGGGGGGGGGGAGATCGGACTGCGTGAGGGCACAGGCGCTACCGGGACGATTTGGCCCATTCTTATACCTTGCACACTATCAGGAAAAGTCAAGATTCACGAAGGTGTGACCGTGTTTACGTGCTTTTCATGAGCACAAGCTCTCCCGCTGACATTCCATAACACAACGCCGCAAGAACAAACGGAAATAAGCTGAAGCACGAGTAGAAATGTCGTTTTGAGGATAAATTGAGCCATGCATACGGTTTTGGGTGCTTATTCGGCATTCAGCAAGACAGAGTGTTTACTGCAGATTATTCTATCTTTCGGAAATCGATGCTTTCCTGGAGCAATTTTTTGAAATGCACCATTGTGTTCTGAATTACTGACCTGCTTTTGACGAGAAGAAAAATGGTCAATGGAGATCAAAAGCCGAAAAGTCGTTATGAGAGCATTATTATCTTATCATTCATGTGAAAATTTACTGATCAAATGAAGCTGGTTCCCCAAAATTCAACTGGATTTGATTTTGGACGGTCGGTTTTTTGCTGAGGATCAATCCAAATATGACCAGTCCCACCAGCCCCAAAGGGTATCAAAGAACACCATGATGGCTTAGGCTATAAAGTTGATCCCTCAACCAAATCCTCGAGCAGCAGTCGCGTATCATCACCCTCAACTTCAGCCTGAAGGTTTGTGAATGAACACTTCTCCAGTTTTGTTGCTTGATGTTGCATTAACAGCAACAACAGTGACACGGTTTACTTGCTAGCGGAAATTATTGAGAAATAAAATAACCTTCAAGCAAACAATCAGAGGAAGTCTCTCGTAATTTTTCTTTCTCTTTGAACTTTCATAATAAGGAGTATGCATGGACCAAGACTTTCTGGTATCTCAATTTCAGCACAGACCCTGACTCCACGGGTCAGGCGTTTGGCATCCCACCTCCTAGGGAATCATTAGGACAATGTGGAGAATTGCCAACATCCTGGATACTGTTGACGATGCAGATGTAAAACCTTTCAAGATATGCGCAATTTGTCACTCGGTCTTGACAGAATTTTCCTGCTGATTTTCATTCATGTTGTCCATAGTCATGACGGCTCTCAAGGCGCTTGGAACAAAGCTTGGAGCTTCGGAAACGCCGGCACTTGTACCAGTGCTGGACATGAAGATAGGTGACATGAATAATCCAAAGGGTTGGATTGGATATGGGTAAGCAATTGATCTAGATGCACATACGTCCTTGTCACCCGGTTACTCACATCTCTCCCTGCTCTTTTTTCGTGCTGAACCCTTCACAATGAGCACCTGTATATACTCGAAATTCAACTTGATTCCGGGCTGGGTGCGATGTCCCACTGCAACCGGGTAGATAGATCTATGTCCTTGTTCCATGGGTTGTTACGAGATCGCTATTAATGAAAACCTCGTTTGGCGGCTGGCACAGGCCGGCACCCGAAGTCATGCAACTAGAATGTTATTTTGTATGATTTATATCACATAGCAGCAACCACCATTCATTCATTTATGGGTGGTTACTAGGTTTTTGGATCACTTCTGGAAGTCAGAGGTCAATTTGGATAGTGCAGCATCCAGAGGATCATGTGGGTACCCTCATCTTCTTCTCTACTCTGACAGGCCATCATCAGAGGACCATGGAAACAAATTCATGTAGGAGTTTGTTGTCATGGACCTCCCAAATATCAACCAGCATTGCTTGAGTTTCAACCGCCTCGATTCAGTTGATTGTAAATATCGTTTGGCCTGGCTAACTTGACCATGATTCTGCCTTGCACCTCTCATCTCGCAATATTTTGCACTTTGTAGTAATCAATCCTAGTACGTAAGAAAAACAAAAATCATGATTGCTTATGCGGTATTTTTCTTTTTGATCAGCTCGTTAGCCCGCATCTCTCCATCTCGCGGCCAGAAAGCCCCGTATCACGATTGCTACTCTTCTACCACAGCGAAGCAAACCGACTGTAAAGCGTAAGCTGGGTTTTCGCGGTCTTCATAATTCCTCCTGATCTTTTTTTTTTCCAATTCCAACTACTAGCAACCAGTTTGGATCAACCAACTCGGGTTTGGGTTATCTATTTGCCATTGATTGTGAACACTTGTTCCCAACAGGGCTGCTGCCAAAATTTGATATACGCCAGATGGCTTGGTTTCAGCGGGTGAGAATAAGATCTTTTCCAGCTCAGGAGAATGTCTCGTGAGTTCCTAGATTCTTCTCTTCATTCATGAAAACTATTATGATCCAACCCAATTGAAATTTGTAATAAAACACATTGCGGATATTCTTCCTTTTTTTTATCAGGTAGAAATCATCTCTAAACCAAATTCAAGGTTGGTGGAGCTCACTTTGTCAACTTTAGAAAGTTAAACATTGGTGATTTTATATTGATTTAGTTTTAATTTTCATCACTATTAGCCCTCCTAAGAAGAAAGAGGTAGATCCAGCCATAGATCAACTTTTGGGATATTGTTCTACCACAAGGGTGTGCATTTCCATCACTTAAACTGGTTCAATCTTTGGAAAAGTATCTGATTTCATTTATAATTCAATTTTTTTTTCAGACTGGAACCATCCTGATGCCAAACTTTCAAGTTTTAATAATTGGGATTGGACCTGATGAGGGTATATTTGGTAGCAAAGTCCCGTTGGGAAAGCCAGTCTGCAATGTCCCAATCCCAGTCCCGTCAGGTCCAATCTTATCATCAGATTGTTCAAAGTTTGTTATTCATTTTTTGTAAGAAAAGTAATCAATTGAATTCTGTAATTGATGTGAATTATATTATGCATTCTAATTTGATGAGTAGGGCAATTGATATTATTCCTAAAGATCAAAAAACCCTCAACGTTTATCTCAAGCAGGTGGAACAGTTCAGAGTCAATACAAATCATGTTATGTAGGTCAAATTTTCCCAAATATCTGATTCAAATTATACTGTTTTGAGTAACTTGATGACATTTATTATTGATTGCAACATGGTTTATGGAAATACAATTTCATGAAAAAATAGGTCTTTGTTAGTTCACATACTCAATTGGATATTACTCTGTGTGTGCTCAAAGATTTTCTCCTACATAATAGCAATTTACTTACATGGCACCAAATTAACATATCTTTTCTTTATGAGGGATAGAAAGAAAGACGATTTACAATCCATGCATTCCAAAATATTTGGGATTTGCAAGAAACAAGTGAGTCAATTTTTTTGATCAAAACCAAGCAGACATTGATACATAGGGATTTAACTTTGGGGATATTTACAGTCTGGCAGATTAGTGACCAACGGAGGGACAGTTGGACTAAATGGGAGGGTATACATGTATGTATACTTCAATGGAAATGCAGCTACAGCTAAATAAGCTTTGACTTCAAAAAACCTTTGAACAAAAATTTATATCTTAGACTCAATCATTGTGAATTGGAATCAAAAGAACACTTTAAAATTTGTTCAAAATTTATTTCTTCAAAAAGTTGTTGGACTTTTGAAAACTGTATCTTCCTTGTATAAATATATGAATAGACCAGAATCTGCTTCCTAATTTGTATTCTTTTCCAAGTAGAAATTTTCATTGGAAGCAATAATTTGTAAAAAAAAAACAATTGTATAAAATTTCCAGATTAATTAGCTAACAAATTTGATGAATATTTCAAAAAAATCTTGTGATCCAAACTTGATTTACTGTAAAATTGATTTCAGAACTTACAGTTTGTTTCAGTGTTATTGGATGACTTTCCATTAAAATTTACAACCCTCCCAGAGTTTGATTTACGCCCCCTAGATCTCAATTTTTGGTTTAGAAAATTGTTTTTGCAGAAGCCTTGTAGAGATAGCTCCCATGTGAGGTAGTGGGAATTATGGGGTGTTAATTTAGGACTGAGGAGGACTTTAGAAAGCACTCTAGTCTAAGAGGCAACAAGAAGTCCTCCATTTCTGTCAATCTTACTTTCTCAACTCATCTCACAGCTATATTGCAGACAGTATTGTATCACTTATTAACTTTGCTTTATCACTGATCTATCATCCTAAAATGGTTTTTACCCTTTGTCTCATTTCTATTTAGAAGACCTCTTTTAGAATATCTCCATTTATGTGTTTTTTTTGTAAAAAAAGAGTATATTTCAAAGCTGTTGAAAAAGTGTTTTAGAGACCTTCTGGCATTCCCCTACCCAACAATTTACTCTCAAGGAAAACAGCAGCCAACAGGTCAAATTTTTAGTTGATGTTAATACCCTCCAATTCTAACAAACAAAATCAATTTAGAAAAGAAAGTTAGAACGTCTTGAAGTACAATTACCTGTGAAGTCAGTTAAATTTGAAGCCACCAGAGAATGCCTCAACTTTGATAAGGTGTTTTTCCACTCTCTCAAGAATCTGTGTTACTTGGGTAGTAGGTTTGAGAAAAATTTTATAAATGGGAGAAAGTCACTTGATGGTGGTTATATTTTGGACGGATTTATCCTTGATGCAAAGTTGGAAGTGATTTTGTGAGGTTTTAGGAAAATCTGATGGCAATGGATCATGATGACTTCCTGTTCAGATGTTACCCAACATCTGTAGAATCCTGAAGGGAAATCTAAATGGGAATTTGCTCAACATGTCCCGACTTTCTTCTCAAACAAGTTATTAAAATCCCATCGTTATGCTTGAGGACCTGACCTCTCCCCAGTTGGGCTCGGGTTTGGGTGGCATGTTTCCCAAAATCAGCCCGACCCGACCCAGCCCCACGTTCACCTCGGGTCGGGCTTGGACACTCTTTTTGACCCAAGCTCGGCCCGTTTGTAGCCCACCTCTGACAGGACCAAACCTTTCAGATCTCGTCAAAGTTTCAAACCCAGACGGAACAGATGAAGGACCACCAATTCGCAGGTAAAGTAACAAGTTTTGGCTTTGAAATACACATGGCGAGGGAAGTGAACTGATCAGTAGAACTTCGCTGATGCAGAATCGCAAATCCGAACAACGTCGCGCAGAAGTGGTGCAAGCAGTTCAGGTGAGTTACCTTACGCAGACAATGATGATGTTAGAGCCGATAATAGCTGATGTAGCGATTCACTCGTAGACCTACACAGCACAGGAACGCTCGAGGAACGCATAAATTCTGGATAAAGCACGCGGGTAAAGCCGATACACAAGTAAGAGCTGCTTATGACAAAATGAACCAGGCGCCGCGAAAAGGCTGTCACCTTCTCTTGGTTTGATTTGACTCTAATCATCGGTCTTGCTCTTCAACTCTTTCTATTTCTCTCTCTTCATTTAGCTTTTAGTTATCTGAATTGTCTCAGCCATACGAAAGACGGAATGATGACGAATTGCGAAATGAGCAGGAGCACACAAGCTGGTCGGTTAATCTGTTCATCAGAAAAATTAAACAACCACCGGAATAACCGCTTGTTATTCTTCAACAGATCCGGTTCTCGAGGCGCTACAAGTTCTGGTTGACACGCATCATGACAGAAGCAGGAGCCCACATCCGTCCAACACTTGGGAAGAGAATGGGGAACTGGCCAAGGATGATCTAGATGAGAAAAAAAAACTGTTGGACGAACTCCGATCGAGTCTCTTGCCGTTGATGAAACATGAACTGAAGACTCTTTCAACTGCACTCGACCGGCCACACGATTCTAGCGAATATACAAGCCCGGACATCAAATTGACCTTGCAGACTTTATCAAATCTCGATCTGACTATGCAAAAATCCTTACACTATGTCAAGTCCTCTCCCCTCAAAGCACTTCAACCGACAGATACCTGCGACCACCACTTTGAACAATGTAAAAGTTTCAGACTTTTTAATCTGGAGACACAGATCGGTTTTTTAGAGATGCATTTATCTTTCACATTCTCGGCCTACCTGAAATCGTTCAGATCCTCTAATCTTCCAATCAAGCGCCCAGATGACCCTGGGTATCGAGCTCCAACCCCAAGAGAGGAAACAAATTCCTGCCTCTATGAGATTGACCAGGCAATTAAATGGTCCCAAGCATCCGACTTTGCTTTGCTCCAATTGAAATGGCGAGGCGTAGTTAAAGGTTTCCATGACCTACTGGCTCGCCTTGCAAGCTTAATTGGCCGTCGACAAGAGAACAACAACGTTTTCAGGAATTATATCGTTGAGCAGGCTAGATTAAACATACCTATCATCAAGTTGCTAAGAACCTTATACCATAAAATATCAAACACGACCACGAAGAAACTCATGTTTACGTTAGATACAGAGGTCAACTCCAATACACTGCATACGCTAAACCAAGAACCTGACATAATTTTGTACAATTGCACAGTCCACGTTAAATGCTTGGATGAGAGTTATAGATATAACTCAATGACTGATACTAGTCGGTCTCTGTACGATCGGAACAAATGTCTGTCACAAACTGTCGAATCTACCGTAGCTCTTCTAGCCTTGTACATCATCCCTTTATCCCCAAAAGTTGACCACTCCTCCCTTGAAAGTGACTTCAAGGCTTGGCTTTCCGAGTGGCACGTTTTGTGGCAGACCGCCAAACAGCGTTTTATGGATGCCATGTATATCTATGAAGAGGAGAATCAATAATTAAAAAATAATTAATCCATGGTATCAAATAGGCGTTGTAATCCAGATCAGTTTTTGCCATCATTATCACATTACCCCTCGTCTATCGCTCCGATGACACCACGTGTTAGATTTGGTCTTCTCAAGCCTGTTCTCTCCATTTTTGTATTACCTAGAATGATAAAGAAATTAAGTAAGCAGCACCCATTGAAGGTTTACGTCCAACTAGAATTTCTGGGTAGCCTGGCAGTCGCCATTCATTCCCCCTGAACCCGATTGAGCCGTGAGTGAAAAAAATCTGTATTTTGATAAGGAACTCCATCCGGGCATCCTGTGAGAAGGCATCAATTTTAATTGCACTTTTGGGCAAAATTTGTAGCAACAAATGTGAGAGATCCAACTGGATCCTCAGAACTGCCCAAGTAAAGCTTACTTGATCAGCTTTAGAAAGGTAAACTTTTGTGAGTATATTCTGAATTGGGTGTCAATCTCACCACAATTAGCACTGCCATGAAGAAAGAGATAGACCTAGTCGCAGGTAAAATTTTGGGATATTGTTACACCACAAGGGTGTGTGTTTTCATTACTTGACCTGGTTGATTTTCTTTGGAAAAGTATGTCATTGTATTCATCTATAATTCAATGCTTTCACACTGGAACCATTCTCATGCAATCCTTTCAAGTTTTGACAACTGGGATTGGGCATGGTAAAAGTATATTTAGTAACAAAGTACAGTTTGGAAATCCAGTCTACAATGCCCCTATTCCAGTTCCATTGGATCCAATCTTATCACCAGACTGTTTTACCAATTATTTGTAAGAAAAAAAAATCCACTGGATTCTACCATCAAGGTGAATTTGATTATGCATTCTCATTTGATGAGTAGGGCAATTGATACTATTTCTACCGTACATATCAAAAAAACCCACAACATATAGCTCAAGCAGGTGGAACAGTTCAGAGCCAACACAAACATGCTATGTAAGGCAAATTTTCCCAAAAATCACATTGAAATTAAAACATCTTGAATAACTTTATGACATTCTTACTGATTGCAATCGTAAGTAAAAATAGGTGTTTGTTGGCTCACATAAATTACTCAGTTGGATATTACTCTGTACATGCTCAGAAATTATTTCACACATATGCAATCAACTTAAATAACACCAAATACACACATCCTTTGATTTCTGAGGAACAGAAATCAAGAGAATTTACAATCAATACATTCTCAGAGTCAAATGTCAGGAATTTTCAAGAAACATGTGAGGCAATTTCCTTTCAAGCAACGCTGCCACAGATACAATACGCTGTGTGTATCATGGAGAATTCTGCAAAGCTGCATGGCCAAAAACCAAATTTGTTGAATCTCCTTGCAAAAGCAGATTGGTCAGATAGTTTTTTTTTATTGGGGCTCAGATACATAGTGATACATGGCAGATACGGGCAGATACCGTATCTGTGGCAGCGTTTTTTCAAGCATAATAGATCAATTGGGATCTAAATTTGGTGATATCAATAGTCTGGAAGCACTACAAAAAGTATTGAATCACATTCACAGAATGCACGGTAACATTGCATGTCACATGTGATGTTACCGTGCATTCTGCAAATGCAATTCAACACCTTTTGTAGTGAAGGTTGGTGCTTAAAATAGGGACAGCTGGAATAAATGGAAGGGTACATATGTATGTATCCTACTATCCTGACAATGTTACCACAGCTCAATGAGCCTGGTCTTCAAATAAAACACTCCTCAATTGAAACCTCAATATTAGACTCAATCCCTTTAAGATTTATTGCAGAATTTTCACTTGGCTTCCTCACATTTATTTTCAGTGTTCCACAAACAGATTTTTCTTAGTATTACTTGATCACTAATCTTTTATCCTAAATCAAGGGGTTTGTCCTCTTTCTCTCATCTCTATCTAGAAGTCTTTCTTTAGACTAATTTGATAAAAATTGAGTTTATCTTTTGAAGGTCTTGAAAAAGTTTGATGCATTCAAACACCCTTTTGGATTGTGCTAGTGGACATTGTGCAATGAATTTGAAGCCCTAGCGTAAAAACCCTTTCCAAGGGGTGCTGTCATCCCCAGGTTATGAGGGTGCCTTTAACCATTCCACACTGCAAAATTTTCTCTCAAGGACAAAAGTAGCCCACTTGGATTTTTTTTAATTGAATACTCTCCAATTTTAGGGAGCAAAATCAATTTAGAGAGTATCATCACCTGGGAGGCCAGCTCTACTGAAATGCAACAGAAAATTCTAGAACTTTGAGGCATTCTTTCACTTTCAGGAGAATGTCTGCTTCCTGTGTAGTGGGTTCAAGTAACATTTTATAAATGCAAGAAAGTTCTGTGATGGTGGTTATATTTTAGAATAATTTATCCATAATGGAAAGTTAGAAGTAATTTTGTGAGGTCTGAGCAAAATCTCCTAGCAATAGATGACTTCCTGCTAAGGGGTAGATTTACCCAAAATCCTAGAATTCTGCAGGAAACTACAGAAGTGAATTCATGAAGTAATTTCACATTCCCATTTTTCATAAAATAAGGTGAGTTGCGTATCATCATCTTGAGCACCTGACCTCTCCCAAGTCGGGCTCAGGTTTGGGCAGCATGATAAAAGGTTTTACCTCGGGTCGGGCTCTGGCTGTTCTTTTTGGCCCAAGCCCGACCGGTTTGCAGCCTAACTCTGGGACAGACCGTACAGACATCCAGTCAAACTCAGACGGAACACAAAAAAGGCCACCGATCCGGGATTCCCACATCAGCAGGTAAGTAAAAACATTTGGCTGAGAAGTATACCTGGTGTGTGGGGGAAATGAACTGATCAACAGGACTTCGCTGGTACAGAATCGCAAATCCCAATAACACCGTCGCGCACAAGTTTGCAAGTAGGCTTACTGGTGCAAACTGGTCAGGTGAGTTCACTTAACGGAGTCATCAATGATGTTGGATCTTGAGACAGTGAATCACTTGTAGTAGACCTGGAAAACATAGGAACACTCGAAGGACGTATAACTGCTGGATAAAACACTCGAGTGTAGTCAATACACAAGTAAGAGCTGCTTAGGACAAAGAAGAACCAGACCCAGCGAGAAAGCTGACGCTTTCTCTTGTTTTGATTTGACTCTAATTGTTGGTCTTGCTCTTGAACCCTTTCTATTTCTCTCTCTCGGCAGTTCATCGTCTAGCTCTCAGTTCCCTGAATTCTCTCAGCTGCTACAAAATACTAAACAGTGTCAGATTTGGAAATGAGCCCAAGTACACAAACTGGTTGGTAAATCCAACCATCAGAAAAAAATCTATAACCGCCCAAATAACCTCTTGTTATTCTTCAACAGCCCCAGTCCTCGAGGCGCTTGAAGTTCTAACTCACGCGTATGACAGAGGATTATGGAGCTCATATCGGCTCAATGCTGGCGAAGAGAATGGGGAATTGATCAAGGATAACCTAGATGAGAAAAACAAACTCATGCATGAACTCCAATCGAGTCTCTTACCTTCAATCAAGCATCACCTGGAGACACTTGACCCACCACATGATTTTAACGATTATCCAAGCCTGGACATCAAAACGACCTTGGAGACTTTATCAAATCTTGACCAGACTATGCAGAAAACCTTACATTACCTCAACTCCTCCCCCCTGAAAGTGTTTGAACCGAGTAACGCCTACGACCACCACTTTAAACAATGTAAAACTTTCAGATGTCATGCTCTGTTGGAACCCATCAATCTTCTAGAAATAAATCTACGATCGCTATTTTTGGCCTACATTAAATTGATCGAATCCCGGAATCTTCCCATTAAGCACCCAGAGGACCCTAGGTATCGAGCTCCAACACCAAGAGAGGAAACAGTTGAGTGCCTCAAGAGCATTGACCAGGCAATTAGATGGTCCCAAGCATCCGACTTTGCTTTGCTCCAATTGAAATGGCGAGGCGTAGTTGAACGTTTCCATGACCTACTGGCACGCCTTGCAAAGCTAATCGACCAAATCAGCCGTCACGCAAGAATAAACACCATTCTCAGGAAACATATTGTTGAGCAGGCTAGATTAATCGTACCTGTGATCAAGTTGCTCAGAAACTTATACGACAAAATATCGAACACCACTAAGAAAAAACTGCTGTTCACGTTGGATCTAGAGGTTAACTCCGACACACTGCACACGCTAAAAGTAGACTCTGGTGTAATTCTCTGCGCGTGCGACATGTATGTCCAAAGCTTGGAGTTGTGTCATATGCATGGTTCAATGGTTGATACTAGTGAGGCGCGGCGCGTGCGGAATAAACGTCTGTCAAGATCTGTCGAGTCTACCTTAGTTCTTCTAGCTTTGTACATCATCCCTTTATCCCCGAAGGTCGATCACTCTTCCCTTGAAAGTGACTTCAAGGCTTGGCTTTCCCAGTGGCACGTTTTATGGAGGGTCGCCAAGGAGCGTGTTCTGGATGCTATGCATGTCCATGGAGAGGAGAATTGATAACCAAAGGTCAGTCAATCCTTGTTAATGAATAGGTATCCTACTTCAGATAGATTGATGTGATCATTATCACACTACTCTCAATCTATCGCTCAGATAACACCACACCTTGGATTTGGTCTTTTCAAGTCTGTTCTCTCCATTTTTGTACTGTCTACATAAGATGATGATGAAATTAAGCAGGAAGAAGGCACTGGACGTTTACTTTTTCCGGGTAGTCTTTCCGTCGCCGCTCATTGCCCTTGACAGTGATTGTTGCATAGGTGAAAAATCTGTGCTTCGATAAGACACTCAATATGGGCATCCTACCAATAGAGATTAAAGTGGATTGTTGGACACAAGTCGTAGTAACACATGTGAGAGGTCCAATTGGATCCTCAGAACTAGCTCATCCAACATTTCCAAGAAAGATACCACGACTGATCAAAGGCGAGAAGCTGTTGTCAATCGATCTCAAGAGCGTCCGATGTGTCTATCTTTTTCCTTTCACAGCATCACAGGCAATAAAGATGACCAGACGTGGCCCCTCCGGGCAAGTTTGAGATGGATTTGGCGAGTGGACCCCAGCTATCGGGCTTGATTGTAGGAGACTTGAGAAATTTTGGGCACTCATTTGGCTTGGGAGCAATTGGTAGCTACTAGAGAATTCATATAGTCTCAAATTTCACTCAGGAAGGTTGATGATTTGATATCACACCAAGGCCTAAACTTTGTAGCTCGCGTTGAGTCAGGATAAGCCACGTGACCGCAAAGCGGCGCGCCCGCGCAGCCCGCAGACAAAATATGTATCACTTTGATCTAATTATCCATACAGGATTTTCCAGCCAGGACACCGAGCTGGACGATGGCCGATATGGAAGTTAACTTGAGCTTTCCAGCTGGTAGGTGACTGGATTCTTGAAATTCTTGAAGCATCGAATGAATGATCAGCTCACTCCCTTCTTTTTCCAACAGATTCGGTCCTTGATGCGCTGGAGAATCGGCTGGAAAAATATGACACAGAGCGACCACCAGGCCCGACGAAAGAAGTGCTGACGGAGGAGGAGCTGGCAATCAAAATCGCACGGTTGGACGAACTCGAGTCCAGCCTTTTACCTTCAATACAAAATCTAGTCGGCCCTCTTGTGACCTCATTGGGCCTACGCCCCGATTCAAACCCAAACTTCGAATCGACTTGCAATATATTATCAACTCTTGATGAAGCATGGTGGCAAACTGTACTGTCCATCGAGTCGGCTGCATTCGGCGTAATTCCAGACAGCACCAAAGACCATCACTTAAAACGATGTAAAGATTTTACATGTTCTCAACTCATAAATATCATCTCGAATCTTAAACGGCATCTCTTTCCGCTGCTCAAGTGTGCGATTCTATTCATGAAATCATTAAAAGTCTCAAGTGACGACCTAGAAAGGATTAGTTATCGAAACCAGCAAAGCAATCTTCGTTACCATGCAGCCAACGCTAGTGCTATGATGCGTGAAACCATGAAGTCGCTACATCGATCGGACTTTCAAATTATCCAAGACAAGTGGCAAGAGCAAGAGGCCTCGCTCGATCGCCTACTCCTAGCTCTAACCAGGCTAACAGGTCCCACGTTGGTTAGGCGACGCAATGGTGCAAGCGCTCTCAGTGTACATGTCGTTGAGTTAGCCAAACTCTCACTTCCTCTGATAAAATTAGCAAGAACATTCTCCAAGCAAGTATCGAGAACCACAACTAGCAAACTACTGTTCACGTTAGATACAAATCTCAACTCCAAGACACTGTCCAGGTTGCACAAACACCCTGAATCGATTGAAACCTGTTTTAGTAAACTCATAAGCGTATTGTACACAGCCTCTATACACAACGTACTGGCTGATGGTCGAGCGGTACTGCGGAATTGGGTCCAGAATATCTCACAGACTTTCGAATCCACTTTGCTTTTGTTGGTCCTGCATCTCATCCCCCTGCCTTTGCTCGAGACCGATCGTGATTCAGCTGGAAATAACTTCAAGGCTTGGTTTGCTGCTTGGCATGAGGCATGGCATCGCGCCGTTAACAATTTTTTGGACACTCTTCAACGCTTCGAACGTCAAAATCAACAACCACTAGCACCACCCCGGGCATAAGAAGTAAAATGCGCAGTAAAATCGCGAAGATCCTTCTTATGAATGAAATGGCTTGTGGCTTGCATAGTGCACCAACCAAAATGCTATCACACTTTCCTCAATCAACCTAGATCTTATCATCCTTTTGATTCACATTGCCTCTCATCACATTCTCACTTATTGTCTAGAGTTTTTATGAGTTGCGCATACTGTCAGGCAAACAGTGGAATAACACCTGAGCAAGCATGTAAATGCCTTTTTTGGCAATTGCACAATGGAAATGGAAATAAGGTGGTACAGATGACAGCCTCTGAAACCATAGTGGATGCTGCAATTTCAATGTGATTATAATATGTGACATACAGTTATCCTTTTATATAATTCCCAAGGATCAATCAGCTTTCCTATCTTTCCTCAGTGCAAGATGTTATTCAAAGGGTAGATATTCATCTGGAGCCTTTTCAAGAGCATTCAAAAATTATTAGTTGAAATATTCAATCCATCTTGATCTGTAGAAACCCAAGACTGTTCACATTTGAGCAAGCAAACGTCAATTATAGGAGGCAAAGGCATGAGATTGGAATCTAGGACAAATAAAGCTGAGTTGAAATTCCTGTTCTTTCCTCTTATTTTGATGTTATCCCACTACAAGTGGGTTGCCTTAGTGCAGGCTAAAAAAATTTACATGCTATTATCAACAATGTGCTGCTATGCTTTTTGACCTAAAAGTGTGAGTGTAGCAACACTTTTTTGTGCAGAAATGTTGAAATTCTGAACTCAGCGTGCAGAGATTTTGATGGCCAAAAAAGAAGGATTTCCTTTTTGGGAGAGGCTTGAGGAAAATGAGTGTGAGAACCAATGAGTTTTTTATTCACTAGTAACTAGCCTGGGTTTAAGTAGACCAAATACAAGAGGACAAACTGTGGTTGAGGAACAATGAATAAAAAAGAGCCATATTGAATAAAGAACTGAGAGGACAAAACATGAGTATTTGGAAGAAACAAACCAGACAAATCTTCTCAGTCTCTTTTAGACAAGCAGGATGAGTTAATCAAAGAAAACATGTTGTAAACCACAGATAATTAGGGTTGTTAATTCTAATTAATCAGTCTTTGTCAAATCAATCATAAAATCAGAAAAAATAGAAATTCATCTTTGAGACATGAGTAGTGAAAAAAGAGCTGATTACTTAAGGTTCAAATTTGACTCGGAAGGGGGCTCAGAATAACTAAAAACAGGCTACTTGATGAATATGATCTAGTCTGATTTATGGTGACTAGAAAAGAGAAAAAGGGCAGGGGGAGAAAAAATGGGGAAAATTCAACAAGAAATTTTGCAGTGTTAGTGCACTGTTAGTGAGTTTTTGCTGCACTATGCTGTGTTACGAGCCACTAACGGCTGCTACAGGGCAAAAAACCCACTAACCAGCGCATGAATGCAGCATATAGTGCCCTTTTTTGGGGCCTACACATGCAGTGTTAGGGCAGACATGTTGGAATTCTGCTAGGCTATGCCAAATTGTAGTGGAAATCCACTATGATACACCACACTAACACTACAGTTAGTGTCACTGTCCCACACTTGTTATTAAAGAATTTTTATTTAAGGATAGCAGGACTTGCAAAAATTGATGCAAGACATTGGCTGAACTATCACTGACTGTAAATAATGGCTTAGAAAGCTGGCTAAAAACGGAAAACATTTGGACAGAAAATTGGAGCACAGCCATCAAGCTTACAAACCACCTGCTACAGAAGTTGAATTGGTATTAGCACTCCTTGAAATTGATATTAGAACTCCTTGAAATTGATATTAGCACTCCTTGAAATTGATATTAGCACTCCTTGAAAGTGATATTAGCACTCCTTGAAATTGAGCTATCATGAATAAAAAAAATCAAATGGATGGTTGGTTTTTTTTTTCAACACCATTACTATTGATTGGTCTTGTTAAAAATCACTTTTTCCAACAACTTACAGATTGTTAGTCATTTTGTCTTGATACACTAATGATACCCAATAAGATAATATACTTTAGGGGGTTGGAAAAACGACTCCCTAAAATTTGCCGACGACTCCCATTTTGGTCGAGGGGTCGTCGGACGGGAGTCGTCTTTCCAATTCCCCCTGGGGGATTGGGAGTCGACTTGCCAATTTTTTTTTATTAAAATTTATTTTTTTGGGTGGGAGTCGGCGCCCAAAACCCTCCTTGGCAAGTGGGAGGTTTGGGAGTCGCCTCCCTCCCACTGGCCGGGGGGATTCCCTCCGGTCATTGAGACTGTACAGTCTCAATGACCGGAAAGAATCCCTTCCGGTCATCAAGACCATACAATCTTGATGGCCGGAAGGAACCCCTTCCGGCCATCGAGACCAATCTTTGTGACCGGAAGTTCCGGTCGGTCTAGGCTCTACACCTCATCGATCGGAAGGATATCCTTCCGGCCAATGAGATACAACGACACCATCGACCAGAAGGAATTCCTTCCGGTCGATGAGGTGTAACCGCCCCATCGACCGGAAGGGATTCCTTCCGGTCGATGGTATTGTTGTTTCTTATTGACCGGAAGGATTTCCTTCCGGTCATGTGGGAGCGACTCCCAAACCCCCTCAAGCATGAGGGGTGGTTTGGGGATCCGACTCCCAAAAATGCAAAAAAAATATTTAAAAAAATAAAACATCATTGGATGGCCGACTCCCAAAGTCGGCCATCCATTTGGAAAAACGACTACCATTCGACGTCGGACAACCGTATTTGGGAGTCGGCGACTAAAATTTGGGAGTCGTTTTTCCCAGCCCCATACTTTAAAGTTAAACTGACAAGCTAATAATTTCATTTATCCAACAATCCTTCTTCTGGTGAAAATAATTGCTAAGAATATATTTAAAATATACAGGGCTTCCAGGGGTTTTGAATGAATATTGTACCTACAGATAATTTCAGAAAGTTTGTTGCTTTTTTCTGGGATAATCCACCCAAAACTGGTTGCATGGATTTTTTTGTGAGAGGCCAAAATCAGCATGACCAATGCATGAGAGTTTGACATTTGGTTATTCAGTCATCCTCTGATTCCTACCTTGTCTTATCAATTAGAGATGGTCACATTGAATCCGGATATCCGCTCACAATTTCAGCGGAATTTTATATCCGCATCTGCAACCGCAACCGCTGGCAGATATCCCCTGGTGCTGGCGGGTATCCACGCAGATACCCGCGGATACCCACCCTTTAAATTGGCGGCGAGACAGCCAGCTGGACAATGTACCTCGTTGGCCAGAAGCATTTCCTTCCAGCCGGCGAGGTACATGTACCTTGCCGGCTGGAAGGGTTTCCTTCTAGTGGGCGAGGTACATGTACCTTACCGGCTGGAAGGAAACCCTTCCAGCCGGCCATCTCCTCCTTCCGGCCTTGGGTGTCCTTGGGGATACCCGGATATCCGCCGGGATTTCACGGAAAAGGGGGCATTTGCACCCGCCACCGGATATCATTGGCACTGGCGGGTATCCGCCAGCGGATAGCGGATATCCGCGACGGATTATCCCTGACCATCTCTATTATCAATAGACACTCAATCCAGGCATCCTACATAGCAACAGGGATTAATGTTGATTGGACTTGTGAGCAAATTTTTAGCAACAAATGCTAGAGGTTCAACTGGATCCCCATAACTGCCCAATCAAGAATTTACAAGGATACCACCACTTTCCTCGCAAACCTTTTTTGCCTAAGAATGGTATCTTTGGTGTGCTTTTGTTATAGACTATTTACTTGCCAAGCACTTATTCCAGAAGAAAACTGCAGCACCAGGCTCACACTCTTTGATGTGTGATGTATAGTGGTGCACCCACCCAGCCCACAGAGGATATATATCCTCCTTCCAACCACATTGTATTATGTTTTCCAGACACAGCACAAAGCTGGATAAAGGCAATATACTATGTCTTAAGATCCAAATGGTAAAAATGCATGTTTGAAATTGAAATTATATGTGACCAGCTGGCAGCCAATTTGTATCAACATCTTTCTGAAAAAATGAAGGGTGGCCTCATGCTTAAATTAATCAAAAAGGGCAAAGTAATTAAAAAACAACAAATTTTATTTGCATTTTGTCAAATTATCCAACATGAAATGAGGTATTACATCAGATGGTGGTGATGATAGGACATGAGATCCCACCTCATAATATTCAGTTCTGATGACTGATGACCTTGTTC